CCCGCCCAAAAAAAAAGGCAAACTAGCAGTATTTCCTTAACTCACAGCAAGAGAGAGAAACTTGTACGTAGAAATGAAAAGAGAGTAGGCATAGGGCCGGATAACAGTGCAACCTGGTCCATAGAAACCCACTTGTTAAGCTGTGTGGCGTCACAGCAGTATGATGAAAGAAGGGGGGTTGTAATAGGGGGGTTACAATATACAGGCTGTGCTCGGTTCACTCTGGGGCTGCGATGGGTTAGAGCTTGGCATGGGCCATTAGACACTGCTCGTGATAGCTATGGGAGGACGTTTAGATATGCTTTGGCAACCAGTGCAGAACTCCCAGGGGGGTCGGGGGTTGGCGGGGGGGGGTAGTATGGGTTATCTTGGGTCAACTTGCGAGGCCTGTAGAGTGACTAGCATCATCTCAACCTTCTAACCCGAAAAACACGTAAGTACGTTGTATTCAAATAGAACATACGTACGTTATACAACGAGTTTTAGGGTACCCGTACGACCACCATGGTTTTCTTTTTTTCCTCTCAAATTTGGTTGGGAATTTCGCAAAGACCCTCAGACAAAAGTTGTTTGTATTGCAATTTTGTACAAGATAAGTTTGTTTGTTTTTTCAAATTTTTTGGGAACTTCTTTGAGCTTTTTTTAAATTGAAATCCAAGAGAATCAGAAAACAGAATGTCCCCTGCCGTAAAAAATATTTTTATTCTCGTTTTTTCTCCCTCTCGAATTTGGTTGTGAATTTCGACAGGACCCTCAGGCAAAAGTTGTTTGTATTGCAATGTTGTACAACATTTCTTCTTTTTCGGATTTTTCTGATTCTTTTGCAAAAATTGGAATTGCAATGTATGTACTATGTAGTATGTACGGTATATTCGACCGTACAGTTTATTCGGAAAAAAAAAAGCGATTTCTGGAAACCCAATTTCCAGAGGTAATCCAAATAGAATGTACGTATGTTTTTTTGGGTTAAGAAGGTAGCGTCCAAAGTACCTGCGCGACAAGGCTCGTTTGAACATGATTCAACCAGGGCTGGACAGGGTAACCTGCTCAACTCTGGAGTCTGCAACCGCCCGCCGATCAGATCATTCCAACAATGCGAAGGTAGAGCGGTGATTGTCCTGAGTGGTAGACACTGAGCTAAGCCAGGGGGGGATGGGGGTGCGACGCAGAGAATTTATGAATGGAGCGCGGGTGGGGTTCACATAAGGGATAGATCTGAGACGAGAGGGAGGGGGGGGGGAGGGGGGGGGAGGAACGAGTACGCTGGAAAGTGCAAGGATTTTACTCCTCGGCATAAGTGCCCTGCAGCAAGCACGTGCCCGCCGTAAGTGAAGGCAGGCCCCTGAATCTCAATGGGCCCTGAATTCGTCAATTTTTGCAAATCTTGTCGGGCACCAGACAGTTGCCACGCGCCAGTTGGTTACATCCGCCTTGCTCGTGAGAATCTGAAATATTTGTGAGCCTTCCACGCTCTTCCAGCAACGTGGTGAAAGCAGGGAACACCGCACGTTTGTGCCTGGGTGGTTGGGCTTGCCTAACCAATTCGGTCCCAGGCCACTGTCTGAACGGGCATGGGCGCAGTTACTTTGGCCGAGACTGAAGCTACTGGAAACTTGGTCTCACGGGGCAAGCCAGTGGCAACGAGCCCGCCACTTTCCATATAGGAAAGGGCCGGCTGCGTGGGTGGCATTGGGGCACTTGCGTGAGAGTGCGGCAGCGCTGCTTGAGTGTGTGCTCGCGTGCTGCTGCGCTAGCGCTGGTGTGCGCGTGCGGTCGTGCAAGAAGTAAGGCACTGCAAGAGGCAGCGCCATAGCCCTGCCTTCATAGCCAGGCTGGGCTGGATGTGTAGCCGGCGGGGTGGTGGTGGTCTTCGTGTATGAGGAAGAAGACATGGGTGAAGAAGTCGAGGGTGAGCGAAAGAGGGAGGGAAGAGGATGGTGATGTGAGAGCACGTACCTGGTCTTGGTGATGGTCTACATGGTCGACATCTGCATGTACTTGGTTGCTGCTGCTGACGTCAACAAATTGCTTGTCATTTCATTGTACATAGTACAGCTGTAGGATAGTAGACTGGGCGCTGAGCGCCAGCAGGAGGAAGAGCTACGATTGCATTGTTGGTGGTGGCGATAATATGCTTTCATTGACAATTGAGTTTGATGCTTTGGTTCTCCTTCAGTGTAATATCAGTGCAATTCTGCTTTCTGGACAGCATTCCACTATCTGGCTTTTGAATCTTTTGATGTGATTTGCAATCTGGAGATCTGTCATTTCGCTATTACTCATTTTCCTTGCAAAAGCCTGGAAAATGCACAAAAAAAAAAAGGGAAATGCACAGCAAATAAAGGCAGAAACAGTTGGGGATGGGTCTGGGAGGGGTCAGGGCGAGGTCGGGGTGGGTTCGCAGAGTGGTCGCGGAAGGATGGGGGGCTT